AGAAAGAAAAAGAAAGAAAGAAAAAGAAAGAAAGAAAGAAAGAAAGAAAGAAAGAAAGAAAGAAAGAAAGAAAGAAAGAAAGAAAGAAAGAAAGAAAGAAAGAAAGAAAGAAAAAGAAAGAAAGGAAGGAAGGAAGGAGAGAAGGGAGGAAGGAGGAGGGGAGGGAGGGAGGGAAGAAGGAAGTCAGTCAGTCAGTCAGTCAGCTAGCTTTTTATGGCAGCACCATAAAACAAAACAGAGCTTTGTGGATAATGCTGCTTTCTCCTGCTGGGCTATTTATTCCCCCAAATCTGTTCCCACTCACCAAAGGCTTGAAGTGGTCTTTGCCTTACATGAAACAGCAACTTGGACTAGAACCACTGTTCAGTGAGGGCAAAATGTCAGTAGAGGGGGCTCCTGCCCGAGCTCCTATCTGGCTCCAGCGCTTATCCTCTCCGGGCCTGTTTTGTGAGCCGTCCTGTGAGGAATAACTCAGCCAATGCCTCCACAATCTTAAGTATGCCAGAAAAAATTTCTCTATAACTCAACTCACTTTCTAACTGAGTCCTCACCTCTCCAGGTCAGCGGAGACAGCCAGCAGCTGACTCACTATCCTCAGTCCTCCAAGGCCACTGCCGAGAGGTCGATGTTCTTGGCCAACTGGTCCATCTGGACCTGGCCACTCTCTGCTTCTGAGCCTCGCTGGTGGTGGCAGCCTCTGGGACTGTCCCCGGGAGACTCCCTCTCAGGGGCGGTGGGCGGTGGGAGACACGGGCACCAGCCCTACATAAGAAACGGGAGGCAGGGCCCCACGCATGCCCTCAGCTCCAGCTTCCTCTCTGCTCACCAGCGTCTCTCTGGGGAATTGGTTTCTAGTCAGAGCGTGGAAGCCCCGCTCTCTTCTTGCTTCTCCCAAACATTTTCTCTTTGCCATTCGTCCTCTGCGTTCGAATCACATTTGTCTCCTGAGGCGATCAACACAGCTGACGAGCCGCTTGGGAAGGAAGATGGAGAGTAAAGAGAGAAACTGAAGGGGCAAAAAGAACCAAAGGTCTCAGTAAGATAGAGTGTCTGGAGTCTGGAACAGTGTATGTGATCAATCAGTGTTAGTTGTTGTTGTTATTGTTATTATCACGGAGGGAGAAGCTGGAGGAGGAGGAGCCCCCGTTTCTGACAGAAATTAAAATGGGGCCTTCCCACCAGGCCAGCCACGCGGGGCCACCTTCCTCTCCCTGCTGTTCACCAAGCGCCAGCCAATTTTCAACCCATGTGACCACGCTTCCATCCAAGACAATCTGAATTAATTTTGCACGTGAAATTTGGTGGGATGTGGTGCCAAATGTTTAACTGAAATCAAGATGCAAACTTCCCTTCATCTACCCGTTTTGTAAATCCTGTCAAAAATAAAATAAAAGCCATTAAGCTTGTCTGGCAACATTTGTCCTTTATGCACCGAGTTGTTCCTTGTTCCTGATTCCCTCATTCTGTTTGCTCACCGCCCCCCCGCCCCAGTATTTGTTCTGTTATATTTACGGTCCCTGGGCAGGCCCAGCACACTGTCAGGTCTACTGACTTTGCCAAGTCTAAGATGCCTTTTAGGGACTTATTTTATTTAAAGAGCACCCCATGAATGGGTTTAATGGCCTTTCAATCACTTAGTATGCATTGTCAATGAGGGAGAATCGATTTTCTGAGAATTCCTGTTCTGGGAGGGAAAGCAACAGCCCTTCCCTCGCTCTGAGTTTGGCCAGCGAGCAGATGACGGTGCAGGACGCGCTCCGTCCTGGTGCACAGGTCTCCTTGCAGCTGGCCGGCGCCCAGAGGAACGTGCACGCCTCTCTTGCTGCTTTCGGGTCATAACCATTGGCCACGGGGACACGTTGTTTTATGAACTTTGGATGAGGCTGACTGTTGCTCTCGCAAAAGATCCACTCCAGGCTTCACGCCACCCTCTTTGGGGAAGACTCAAACCCCAACCCTTGGGGCTTTATGAGATCTTCTTGGTCCACAGGAACAGACGGGGAAGGACGGCGGGCCTGCCAGGGTTCCCCAGACACAGACTTCTAGAAGGGCACGGCACCTCCGAGGTCTCGAGTTCTGGAATCTTGCAGCAATGAGCAAACACATAAACTCTCACTGTGGTAACTTCTAATTCCGTAACTATCTGTTGATGACTTTCTAAGGACAGGGCTTGGCGCCGTGGGAGACCCACGCGCGGGTCATCAAGAGAGTAGAAAGCCATCTCAGTGCACACTCAGGGTTTGTCTCTTGCAAGTTAGCATCTCCTTTAGGTGCTGTTAACCAGACTTCTCTCTCCTCCCGCTCTGATTCTCCCACCCCCACCACTCCCTGTCCTTCTCTTCCTCCCTCTTACCCTTCCCCGAGAATCCTGCAGGAAATCCCACACGCTCAATAACCACAGCTCTGTTCTCTGAAGACTGACAGTGACAAGGAGTCTCTCCTGGGCACCCTGCAGTTACCAGTCTGCAGAATCCTCAGCACGACTCTGCGTAAATGCTATCAAACTGTGACTATCTCCATTTTTTCAGAGAAGGAAACCAAGTCTAAAGGAGGTCAAGTCATTAGCTGTGAGCCAGACCCACCTGACTTGAAAACCTATTCTCTGAAGCCCTGCACCAACTTGGTTTTCTCTTGCTTATTTTTAGGGTGCTTTGCTCCCCAGGGGGTCCTAGCCAGCAAGTACCCACTGTCCTAAGGTAAGCGAAGCAGACTTGCTGACACCTGGCTAATGAGAATAACAATATTACTAATCTAGCTCTCACCGCCCCCCCCCCCGAAGTGACCATTCTGTGCCAAACACTTCATGGATCTTTTTTTCACTTAATTCTCACAACGACCTCAAGAGATGGAGAAAAGGGCCCCATGAGGGTAAGAGACTTGCCCAAGGTCTCATAGTTATTAGGTAATAATAATGATGATGATGAAATTGCTAGCATTGATTAAAGGCTTATTCTATGACAAGTGCTGGGCTAAGGTTTTTATATCTGTATATGTTTTAATCCCAGTAAAGCAAATGTTATTATTTACAGCATACAGATGAGGAAACAGAGGCTCAGAGATTGAAAGCAACCTGCCCAAGGTTAGCCAGCCCGAAAGAGATGGAGCCAGCATTTGACCCAGGGGGCCTGTGCCTACTTTATAACAGCGATGCTGCCGTCATGCCCCACAGCCCACGCTCTTCGTCTCTCTCCTCTCTAAAAGCCTTTTGGAACATGGCCCAAAAGTTTTCCCACAACAGTAGTTGAAGACAAACCCAAGAGCCGTCAGGTTTTGCAGCGGGGTGGCTTCTTAACAAGCTCCTGCCCTCCCCGAGAATCTCATTTGCATTTGTCCTTCTGCAGTAGTTTCCAATTCCCAGGCAGAACACAATTTAACTGTAAAATTCGCCTTAACTAACCAGCTGTCTGCTGCAGTCAGGCACCAGGCTCAGGTGCGACTCCCAGGAGGCTCTCTAGAATCAGCGTGCCCGCCTCTGCAAAGCAATATAAAGTCACCTCCGAGAAATGAGATGCCACTTGGAAGAGGCATGTGCTTCCATGCCCGCTTGTTGTCAGCTCGGAACAGTGGAGGGGGTGCCGATCACGGCTCGATTGCTCCCAGGACTTCTCTCCTGAAGGTTTGCCTGTCATCTATAGGAACCTGTTCAGGCAAGACTACCAAACGTCCAGGGCCTGGGGTGTTACTTGGGATGGGATCCTGGAAGGGAGGGGTGATGGGCTTAATTGGCCTCGTCTGGCCACAGTGTCATTGGCCGTCCAGCTGGGGGCTCCCGACATCAATAGGCAAGAGAACGCCATTCAGCAAATGTCATCTGAGCCTCTACTGTATTCAGGACATTATGCGAGAGAGTACAAAGGTGAATCGAAAGCCCAATCTCAGGGTGCCCGTCTGGCTCAGATGGAAGAGCACATGACTCTTGATCTCAGAGTTGTGAGTTCAAGCCCCACATTGGGTGTAGACCTTACTTAAATAAATAAACTTAAAAAAGAAAAAAGGCCCAATCTCAGCCTGATGGGACCCTACAATTTGACAAGTATGTAGAGTGCCAAATAGAGTAGGAAAACGTGCCCTTACGAAGATATAATCATTGAAGTTCAAAGACATCTGTTTCGAGGCTGTAGTTGCAATGAGGAAGCAGATGAGGTTGTTGGGAGAAAATAGATAGGGACAGCGGAGAGTCATGCCCAGAAGGGGACTTCTGCATGGACTTCGACGGAGGCAATAGCAAAGACATCCTAGACACAGAGCAAAGGAAGAGAATAACAGCTCAGCACCCCACGAAGCACTGGGTGACCCATGGGAGGGACGCATCCATAGTGTCCAATGAGACCAGCGTGATGAGACCGAGAAAAGGCCGTGGGCCCCAGTGACAAGGACGATGCTGACCCCCCCCCCCGCGAGAAAACAGTGTGTGTAAGGGAGGCCAGCAGTTTCCCCAAGGTCAAGGAGACACATGGGTGGTGGGGAAAGTAACGGAAGAGCGTGGAATGCTATTTAGGAATGTTTATTAATGAAAGTCAGAAGAGGTGGAGGTCAGTAAGGGAAGAGGGTAGCAGGCCTGAGGAATGTGTTTGAAGGATGGGGGAGATTCAAACATGATTGCAGGTTCCTGGTGGAGCAAGAATGGAGGGCAGGCAGGAGTGACCAAGGGCACAGGGGGACAGATTCACATGGGGAAGAGAGACCCTTCAGAGACTGAGGCAAGGAAAGGGGAAGAGGGATGGTGCAGCCGTTCGACATGGAAAGGGGATGCTGACCTTGGAGACCTTGACTTTGCCATGACATCACAAATGATCTCCAAAAGTGATTGTCCTATCACAGTAGTGTGGGGACTGTGCTAAGATGGCCACCTTCTGAAGGAAGACGCTAGAGGAAATGGGGAAAGATTCACTACATTTGTTTTTCATCAAGCAAAAATGTTCATCTTTTTCTTTCTCATTATTTTGCTTAATTACATATACAATTATAGTAAGTTTAGTTCTTCAACCTTCTCTGTATTTACTTCTCTCCTTAGGAGTATCTTGTGACCTTTATCTCAAGGATTTGCCTCCTCTTATTACCATCAACTCTAGAGTCTGCAGGGGCTAATTATCCAGGCTGAAGATTACCTGGGTCTTTCTCTTCCTCTTCCCACAGACTCCCTGCCTCTTCGCCATTTCACTGCTCATCAGTCCTTCCACCAGATGTGGGCAGGGGAAGCATGACAAGCTAAAACTCAAATCAGTTCACTTTATTACTTATTTTGGGATCTAGCCAAATATTTTAAGCTATTATCTCAAATGAGGTTGGGGGCTACCTCAAGTTCATAGTTATTTCATTATCCATGAATGGAACCACCCACAATTAGTCCCAAAGTCAGAAAGATTAAAAATGTCAATGTGAGGGGAAAAAAGACACTTAGTGAAGGTCTTACTGGCAGAGCTCTAATTAATATCTCTTGTGTCATAGTTTTGTCTATCTCCTTGCCGTTCACTCTGAGTCTTGCTTTCTCGTTGTGGCTAATTTGAAATTCCACATACTGTATTTTCCGATTGGAAGCACTAAGAGTGAGCACTGCCAGTAATAACAGATTGGTGCTTCTTCTAGTCCCTGAAATGTGATGCTCAGAGTATTCATTAGCATTATGGTTCGGGCAGCTTCCAATGCTCCATAGTCTGCCTGTCTCATTGACAGCTGAGCATAGGGTGCGATCAGATGGTTCCCGGGGTATCTGTTTACTTATTAAACTTTGAGAGGTATGTATTTTTGAAAGGATCCAATAGGTTGTGATACTGTGCCACAGTTTCTCTGTGCCACAGAAAATGGGTAAAAGATCCATAGGACCTCTCATACTGCTGTGAATCTACGGTTGTATGGTGAATCTACAATTACCTCAAAATAAAAAGTTTCATGAAAAATTCTCCAAGACCTTATCATCAGAAGAACAAAACCAAAATAAAATCTAACAAGGACTTTCATGTATTCAATACATACACTAAAATGGCTAAAATTTAAAAGACTGACAATATCAAGTGTTGACAAGGATGAGAAGGAACTAGAACTCGGATACTGCTGGTGGAATATACAAACACTTTGGGAAGCAGCCTGACACTTTCTTATAAAGTTAAACATACACTTATCATAGGACCTAGCAGTCCTACACCCAGGTATTTCCTCAAGAGAAATGAAAATATATGTCCACAAAAAAGATTGGTATATAAATGTTGATGGCACTTTATTCATAATAGCCCCAAAGTGGAAACAACCCAAATGGCCATCAACTAGCAAATGGATGCATTTTGACATACTCATGCAATGGAATACTACTCAGCAATAAAAAGATTAGAACCACTAAAATATATAATATATAAATGAATTTCAAAGTCGTTATGTTGAGTGATAGAATTTAAACACAAGAGTACATACTATGTGATTGTATTTACTTGAAGTTCTAAAATAGGCAATGCAATTTGTACTGACAGAAAGCAGATCCATGGTTACCCAGAGACATGGGGGATCAGGGATGGTTATTAGCTACAAAAAGTCATGATGGAACTTTTGGGAGGGATAGAAATGTTCAATATCTTGATTGTGGTGATGGTGGTGTTACACAGGGGTATGTGTGTGTGTGTATGTGTGTGTGTGTGTGTGTGTGTATTTTATTTAATGTGAAGTAGACCTCAAGAAAGTTGACTGAGAGAAAAAGGAAGACTCCAAGAACCTCTAACCAAATCAGAAAAATAAACTAAAACCTAGCAATGATTTTCTTATACTCAGTACATTAACTTTCTAATCTTAAATACATCTTCAACAATCAACAGATACCCTGAGTCAACAGACCCTGGCTTAGATCAGCCAGTAGAGGGAACTCTTTGTCAAACTGAGGCTCCATCAACTCAGTGACCTACTGAGATTAATCTCTAAATGTAACTTATATCTCCACATTTCTCTTCACTCCATAGCTGCAGCCACATAACCTCAAGTAGAAGGAACCCAAACTATCCCAGTTAAGAAACTAACCCTGTTCCCATTGAGAGGTGGAGGAAAGGAAGAATTCCAGACCAGCAGGTTGGTGTTTCAGGATCCATGCTGACTTCCTACTGTGCTGCCACTCTGATCTTTACATGAGGCTGGTAATTAAGGATGCTTGGAAGCAAGCCCTCCTCTTACTCCCCAGGCATAGCAATCAGAGCCCTGTCATGGTGCTGTGCCTGCCTTCTGTCTCAGTTGCCTGAAAGTGGGGTCCTGACTTGCTTTTGCCAGTTGTTCTGTAATCTAGAGTCTCGGTACTACCTAATACCAGACCTAAGAGCCAAGCTTATCTGCCATTTGCCTGTAGCCAGGTTCCCCTGATGCCTGTCTCTGCCCTCTCACCCCCTGGAAGTCAGGCCCCTGACCACCTGTGCTCTGAGTTGGGTCTGCCCCAGCCCTGAAGGTCACCTGCCCATCCTGAGGCCCTCCTAGATTTATGAATCCCAGATTCATCTCCAGGGATGCCCATTCACCATCAACTATACATTGGTTCTAGACACATTTCAAGTCATTGTTCACCAGAAAACATCTTGGTGAGGCAATCATAAGGTCTTAGAGGACAAATTCTGCATCACTGTGAAATAATTCTCTTTGTTGCATCTAGAATCATGGAACTTTAGAGTCAGTTTCAGAGTCCATGTACTCCAAACACCGCCTCGGCAGGAATTGTTGAGAAGTGGACATG